AGACCAGGGAGACACGGAGTAGCTTTTCTCTCCCCGGAGGACGCGGGCGGTGGGACCACGGCGCATCTGGGCAGTCTCGCCGCCCGCGTCCTCCGGAGCGAGAAAAGCCCCGTTTGTAAGTACCCCGGGGACTGCCTGTATTAGTTAACACGGAAATCCAAAAATAGTAGTTTAAAAACCAGTTGATTATGAACTCACCATTGTAGATTCATGGATAAGTAACCCATATATATTAGCATGGGCTACATGTATTATGACAAAATGGTGGAATTATTAACTAGACCTATTAAGTGATCGCTACAGAAAGAAAAAAGCATAGAAATAATGGTATAATTTTCATCTGTATCAGTTATTGTGTCCTGCCTCTTCTTTTGGAAGGGTTTGGTAAACAGCAGGTTTGCATGGTGAACCAATATGTCAAGGCTAACACTGCAAAGACCTTGCTTGACTCAACTGAAAGTAGAAATAAAGAATATACAGTACTCACCTCACAAATAAACATCACAAACCCCAATACTTAAAAATAGTGCATGCAGCTAGCCTGTTCAAAACCATAATTGTATTATTAACCACAGCATCCTGCTCTAGCTGTCTTGTTAATTTGCTAAATTTATTTACTGTATCCACTCTTAAACGTAAATAAACTTAGAACAGAGTCTCTAATGATATGTTAGCACTGGGCCAAGTACAATGGTCTTGAGCTTGGTTGGTTCCTCTAGGAATGGTGGTAGTAGTTACTAATGGAATTAGTAATAAATAAAGGATACCATGAACTAAATGCCTTATCACATTTTTTTAAATAGAACTTCCAAGTGTATCTTCAACTTCCCTAACCTTCACAAGTCCAGTAACCTCCAAGCCTGTTTCCACTGCACAAAGTAAGTATTATTCAGGCTCATTCTTGTGTCTGAGATATTTTCTGTATTGCTGCACGGATTTAAGAAGAAAGTTCAGTATAGACAGACACGATATACCTGACAACATCTGTTTTTTGGCACATATGTGCTTAACTTGCATTTAAACCTAGGTATAATCCTATTTCATACTGTGTTACAATTGGGTAGTTTGAAGTGTAATTGATCCAAAAAAAGGTATTACTGCACCCACCTTTGCAGTTGGCTGATTAAAAACAACCTAGTAGATGACCATTTAACAACAAACTACTATGAGAAATTAGTTATGATATAGTAGTATGTATTGTGTTTCCGAAAATATGGTCCAGCTTCAGAAGGTGAATTGACCAAAAATACTCTGTGTGTCTGTGCATGTATATATTATAATTCAAAAGACAGTTATTTTTTCATATATCTCACAGATACTGAAAGCTCAAACCAAGTATTGCAGCACCAGAGCATACAAAGTGCCTAGAGAAATAAAATATTTATAATCTATGACTCAACTTAGTGATTCCCTATCTTCCTCTGTGGCAGTCTTAGTGGATCTTGCTGACACTTGGGTTTGCACGGTGAAATATGACTCCACCAATGTTCCCTATAAGCTGTGTGCTTGGGCGACAGCCAAGGAGAGAGTCAAAAGCAGCCCAGTTGATGAGCCCACAGCCAGCTGCATTTGTTTCTATTGATGGTGCGTATCCACACATGTCTTGGTGGACATAACATTTATTCTACACATGGATGGAGAGAACTTTGGACTCTACTGGAAGCAGAACTTGACAAAATTGTTCACAAATCTTTTTTGGTTAAAAAATATGCAGATTCAGCTACTCCAAAACATTTTGTGAATTTTGCCATCGTGCTTAAGTAAAAAAGACTAAGAAAGTCAAAAAGATTTTACTTCTACACTTTCAAGATTAAGCATTTTGATTTTTTTTGTTTTAAATTACCTTTTCTTTAACAAATCCCTTGAATTTTACTTTTTTTTAAAACGAGTATTTAAAAAATGCTCAAAATCAAAACAAAGCATTTAATTTCTGTCTCAAAATTTTTTTGTTTGATCCTAAACTATTTTCCATCCCTTTTTTTGGAATTGCCATTATATCAAAACAAAAAATCTGTTGCTCAACCAACACTAGTTGAAAATGTAATGCAGGGTTTTATTTGGGCTCCCCTGCAGAGATTAGCTCACATCTAATTTCCTGGTCCACATGACAACTACATGAGAATTGCATGAGTCAAAAGCAGACTAAGTTTTGAGCCTCTTCTATGTGGTTTGACCCTAATGGTTTGGTCCTTTCTGGTATCAAGTACAGTGAAACCTTAATTATCCAGCAGTCTGTTAACTGGAAAACGTTAATCAGCATTGTGCCCCCTACCACTGTTGTGAGGCTTCTTACAGCCGGCACTGCTGACTGATATCATCATCAGGTGCCTCCTTCCCACTCAGCTGCCTTGAGCTGCTAGGAGCCCAATCTGCTGATAGGGGGCAGGAGCAGAACAATATGTTTTGTCATCGGGCACATTCAATTCCCCTTGAGTGCCAGGTAATAAAGGTTTCACTGTGCTTCTCTAATAATGCCCTTTTAAAGGGCTGTTTGCATTATGGAGTCTCATTGTCTCTCCCTTCAGCAGTTTGTATGGTCCAGGATTAGGCAGGCATTCTCTCTCTCTCACCTGGGCAGCAATTGGCACATAGTATAATCTAGCACAAATGATACAACCCCTGTGAAGAAATGGGCATGAAGAAGTCAGTTCAACAAACTACTCTAATCACATTTTCCTCCTCAGAACCACACCATGGTCATGGTGTAGAAAGGAAAATACATTTCTATATTACAAGTACAGATGCATTGTCAGCTGTACTGTGGGCACTGGACTTTTGTCATCTTAAACATCACAGAAAGGCCAACGTGACATATCTATGATGGCACGAAATAACTAGGGCAAAAGTGATTGTTTTAAATTTAGCTTCTCCTAGTTATGTGACTCTAGTGCACCCAGTTTGAGATAGTGGGATGTTTCCATGAGAGTTTTTATCCTCTTAATGACAAGCATTCACACATTAAAACTTTTCAGAACATACCAAGGTTTCCTATCTCACAATACACTTTCCTTAGTTCCATATTTACCTGTAATATCAAGCTGACTCAGCAAGAACCCTAAACCTTTGGCTAATTCCACCTCTTGGGTCAAATTAAGCCTTCCAGGAGACTGCATTATTCCTGTGAAAGTCAATGGGAACTGCCTCCACTTTCTGAACAGATGAATCTGGCCTGAAATATATAAAGGTACCTTTACAAGCTTTACACACCCAAATTTACATATGATGGCAAAAGTCCCACATCCTTGATTGTGGTATTGCAAATATTCCTTAAATGGTGGAGTCATGCAAATTATCTCCGTTTTACAATATTAACCTAAACATGTAGACCGGCTTTGGCAACCTGGTTAAGTGGTGACATCAGAAGAAGAAAGTGAATGTCTTAGTACTTAAGAGAAGGTAAAAAGGTAATGCAAAATAAAATGCAGAGTCAAAACATAATGCAAAGACATAGAAATAGTAGAAAGTGGCGGGGCAGAGGGGAAACATGACAAAGCATGACTCTGCCAGCTGGACTATGTGGAGGCCACCAAATTGCTGCCAGATAAAATGTGTAATCTTGAAAGCTTGTCTTTCTGACCAACAGAAGTTAGCCCAAGAAAAGATATGGCCTCACCTTCCCTGTGTCGCAAATAAAATGTTACCTTTCTAGGTTTGCTTTGCAATATGCAAATATAAATAAGTGAGAAATCCAAATAAGGCTTCAACTACACTACAAATATAAATCGAGTCTGCTATTCTAAGTAGAACATTTTATAGCTGGCTCAGGAACCCCTGGTAAAAAGCTGTGGTGTAAACAGGACTTCTGCATGTCTTGTTTCCTGTGCACAGGGTCCAGCGGTGTTGTAGCTGGTTCTACTGACACAGTTATAGTTGTGCAATAGAAAGGGTCATTGGGTAGCTGAGTGACCCAGCACTTTGCATAACACAGCTCCTTTCTCTCTAATAACTTACCCACTTCTTTCCATGCCAATGTCATCATAGAATAGTGATAGAAATGTAGCCGTGTTAGTCTGGTGTAGCTGAAACAAAATACAGGACTATGTAGCACTTTAAAGACTAACAAGATGGTTTATTAGATGATGAGCTTTCGTGGGCCAGACCCACTTCCTCAGATCAAATAGTGGAAGAAAATAGTCACAACCATATATACCAAAAGATACAATTAAAAAAATGAACACATATGAAAAGGACAAATCAAATTTCAGAACAGAAGGGGGATGCCAGGGGGGTGAAAGTAAATGTCTGTGAGCTAATGGTATTAGAGGTGATAATTGGGGAGGCTATCTTTGTAATGGGTAAGATAGCCAGAGTCTTTGTTGAGCCCCCCGCGTATAGTGTTGAATTTTAGCATGAATGACAGTGTCTTCGCCAAAGGATCAATGCCCACGAAACAGATATTAGACAGGATCACAAAGAAAAAACAGTTTCTTGCCATTTCAACCAGAAAGGACACTGTCTCAACAACTTAATTACCTGCATCCTGCTTCAGAAGCCTTTTAAATCTGCACTTGAAAGGGAATCCTGTGAACTGTCATTCATGCTAAAATTCGACACTTTACGCGGGGGGTTCAACAAAGACTCTACCCCCCGGTATCCCCCTTCTGTTCTGAAATTTGATTTGTCCTTTTCATATGTGTTCATTTTTTTAAATTGTATCCTTTGGTATATATGGTTGTGACTACTTTCTTCCACTATTTGATCTGAGGAAGTGGGTCTGGCCCACAAAAGCTCATAATCTAATAAACCATCTTGTTAGCTTTTAAAGTGCTACATAGTCCTGTATTTTGTTTCAATGTCATCATAGGCTTCTTCAGAAAAGTCTTTGGAGGAAGCTGAGTTACTGAGCAGAGGATTTTCCCTCTAAATCCTCATTAGTGTAAAAGTCGTTTGATTCAACTTCTTATTTCACAGCACTCTTAATGAGCATCTAGGAGACAGCTGGTGTAAGGAGATTGATGCAAGCAGAAAGCACACACAAATAGATTGTAAGACTCAGAGGGGGCAGTGTTGGAGCTCTTGCAACTGCAGCCTGTTTTCTGCTTAGCTTTCATGTTAATCTCTCCTGCGCAGGACCTGGAGACACTTGCATTTTGAGTGTTAGGTAATAGCTTTGTTTCACTTTCTCAGGCTTGCAAGCATTCTCAGATGCCTTACTGCCATTCTTGCAGAATCAGACAAGTGTCAGGAAGGACTGGCATTTTTAGCAAGTCTCAAATGAACCATGTGGGAGAATCGCTTGCGCTCTGCCTCAGTTTCAGTGTCTGACAAATAACTGGTTCAGCTCTAGACTGTTTACCATTTTACTTGATTCTTTTTAACTTGTTAAATGGAGAATTGCAAGTGGGTTTCAAAGAGGGTCCTGACACACCACCTGAACATGGTATTGCTAGAGACTGATCAAGGACAGGTTGGTTTCATACATGTTCAGGCAGATGTATGTCTGGCTTCAGTTTTGAACAAGCCCCAAAACTCAATTTAAACCCCTAAGCTTTCATTGATTTTCCTATTGAAATGGTAAATCAGTCCAGATTTTTGGAAAACTCAGACTGGATTCCTTAAAAATTTTCCCAAATCTGACACAGCTCATACTGTGCTCCTGTGATATGACAAATCCCAAACCTTGCTTTGGGTTTCTGTAAAGAAAGATCCATCCAGGTCGTCTTCATGATTGTCTAAACTAACCAAAATTGTTGATAAGAGTAGAAAAAAGGAATTAATCATCATCCAGTCTGGAGACAGGAGAGGTAAGCCTGTTTTCTAGCACAACTTTTGCAAACTGTTTGTTTTCCAACAGGCCAGTTTGATTCTACCACAGACATAGTACGTTATACCAATGCCACAGCTTCCAGTGAGAGTGAAACATCACAGCGTAAGTAGACCGCTATCTCTCTAGTTATATTTTTCTTTGTAAGATTTCATTAAATAAAAGATTCTGGATAAAGGAGGATGGCAACTGCTTATGTATCAATGCAAACTTAGCAATATTAAACTTAAAAAAACAACCAATAGTCTGGTAGCACTTTAAAGACTAACAAAACATATAGATGGTAGCTCGAGCTTTCATGGAAATCCATCAACTTCACAAAGAAACTCGCACAGATCCAAACTGACATGCCCACAAAAGCTCATGCTGCCATCTACATGTTTTGTTAGTCTTTAAAGTGCTACCAGACTATTTGTTGTTTTTTTAAGTTTATCCTGTACAGACTAACTTGACTACCCCCTGACGTTACCTAATGTTGTGCTTCAAATTGAGAGAGACCTAGGAACTCTCTCCAATGGCAGAGAGTAGCCCAATCTCAATTCGCCCATTGAACCATTGGTCTTTGTGCTGAGTGTTAACATTTGTGCTGATAACTATTAGGATATAGACTCTAGAAAACAGGGTGATGCCCCTAATTTATTTCTTCTGGGGGATCAGGTTGCAATGGTTTTCAGTCATTAGTCAGGGAAAAACCAGTGACCTGGATACAAAAGATTTCCTAGCTCACAATCATTCTCCTGAGCCAGCTAGTCTCCAAGTAGTACCATTTTCATAAGCTGTAATATTTGCAGGTTAAGGCATGAGTGCTGCCTTGCAAGCTGAGAGAAGAAATTCCCTGTGGCATGTTATTCAGTTCCTAAGATGGGGTGGTTGTGGTGGTGGGGTTTTTTTTTTTTTTTTTTTTTTTGTGAACTTTAGAATCAAACAAGCTAATACTGATCTCTCACACCAAATCTGTTTGACACATGTTCCTGAATGTTACTTTGTGTTCTAATGCAAAGTCTGATGTTGGATGAACAC